TGATAAAGATTAAATGTATTACATTTGTCTTCGACTATTTTGGACAATGTATCTGCATTGTTATGTACTTGACCAGCCTGATAAACAATAGTAAAATTATAGGGTTGTAGTCTTAGGATCTATCAGGCTTGTTGTTCTTTCAGGGTCATTGTTTGTAACTATTTTAGGGCACTAGAATTAGTAACAACTATAAAGTGTTTATATTCAAGATAAGAATAAAAGTATTCTATCACCCAGACCACAGCGTAGCATTCTAACTCTGTTGCCGAATAGTTCTTTTCAGCTTTGGTTAAACTTTTGCTGGCATATGCAATGGTATATTCCTTTTTATTTTCATTCTTCTGGGCTAATACTACATCAAGAGCAACTCCAGAGGTGTTGGTATGGAGGTAAAAGATCTTCCCAAAGTTTGGGTAACTTAAAACTGGTGCTAAAGTTAAGTGCCCTTTCAATATTTGAAACACATATTCTTGTAAGGGTCTCTATTTATAACTAATACCCTTTTCTAATAACTTGTATAGGGGTTTAGCTATAGTTGTGAAGCCTTGGATGAACCTTCAATAGTAAAGGCAAGGCTGATAAACCTCCATAGTTGCCTTAAATTTGTTGGAGCAGGAAATTCTTTGATTTTTACTACTTTTTTTTTTTTAGATTGAATACCATCTCTTCCTACACCGTGGGCAACTTACGAATATTCTGCGCGTGATATTTCGATTTTAACCAAAAAAAGTGCTTGTTTTCTTTTACAATATTTTTCAGAAATTTACGTGCGATTATTTCATCATAAAATTCCATTAGTCTATCAATTACAGGTCGATTTAGAACCACCTTCTAAAAAGAAAAAGAGAAAATCTGACTATGATACGATTTTATTAGCCGTGATGAAAATGCCAGAAGCGCAATTATATCATCTTCCTTTGGGTTTTAGTACTTCTTACAAACCTGATCCATTTTGTTATTGCGACGCATCTAATTGTTATTTTGCTCTTTTGCCTATAAATACAAATACTATTATCACTTTAGCTTGTGGTCATACATATCACAAGTCTTGTTATATCAGCAACGGATCCAAATGCTTGCAGTTTTACAAGAAGGCATTGACGAAAAAGTACAATCTTTGCTAGAACAATTAAAAGGACTAAAAAATTCTAAAAAACAGAATAAAAAATGCAACGATGGTTCTTCTTGTGATGATAATGATCATGAAAATGGATCAGTAAAATATTCGTCATTTGAGTTAGAAGAAGCATTACAAAAATTTCGCTCTTTGTAGTGATTTTTTTTTTTTTTTTGCACAATAATCTATTTATTTATTTATTATATATATAAAAAATTATTTATATACAAAATTATTTATTTATTTATTTATTTGCTTATTTATTTTTTAATGATTTAATGTTTATTAAATAAAATTATTACATATATTATACTTATCGACGCAAAAAAAATTCGTATTAGTATGTTCGTTAATTAATTTTTCTGCGCAATTTTATTGGTCGATCATCACGGGTAATCACGGGTAGATCTCTAAAATTGACCAATCAAACGAATGTCTTCCTATGAGTATAGTCCCATATGAATAATTTTGTGTGTAACAATCGCGAAAATCTATAGTAAATACTAGACTTTTTAACAAATTTATTGAAAAGTTTTAAATTAACAAAAAAATCGCTTCATTTTTTTAAAAAATAGACTTGTTGAGTAACTGAACAAAATTTTTAAACGAATTAATATGTTATTTATGTAAGAGGCAAATGAAGTCACGTCTATGGTACATTTATTTCTTACTTCTGTTGCAGGTGATGCAATCTAAAGTCATGTAGATATCTATATGAAAGTTATGGAAGAGATACAATCTAAAGTCATATAGGTATCTAAATGACTTCAAATTGTATCTCTTCCATAACTTACATATTAATTCGTTTAAAAATTTTGTTCAGTTACTCAGCAAGATCTATATTTTAAAAAATGAAGCGATTTTTTTTGTTAATTTAAAACTTTTCAATAAATTTGTTAAAAAATCTAGTATTTTACTATAGATTTTCGCGATTGTTACAAAATTATTCATATGGGATATTTGATCTACATAGTACACTGGACACCCCACCGTTACGGGATGATTTTTCTATTTCTGTATTTATGCTATGCACTCAAAATGATCTGCAAAATTTCGGTCCGCAGTTTAAGAAACAAGATTTTGACGCGAAATTATTATCTGTACTCGGTTTATGAGCATGTGATGATGATCGTACGAATTTAAATTAACAGTTAAATACGTAACTTACGTATTCTCGACCAATCAAAGTTGGTTACATAAATGTTAACAGACGGATAGTTTTTCTAACTTTAGATGAGGTTTTCTCGGTAGACACCTAACATGAATTTTTTTTTATTTCAATTTTACACACTCGTGGCATTGAAATAAAGTACTTTCATTGAATTTGGTCAGGTGGTTGTCAAGAAAACCTCGCACAAAGTTTTAAAACATTGGGTTATTGATAGAACAAATTTTTTTCTAAGCTTCGAGTGAAGTTTTCTTTATAACCGCCTGACCAAATTCAATGAAAATTTTTTTATTTTCAATTCTATATATTAGAGTTGAAATAAAATAATTTGGTCAGGTAGTCATCTAAAAAAATTTGCTTAAAGGTTTATGAAAATCAATTAAGTAGTACGTAGATTTTTAACATACATAATAAAATACTGCGTAAACAGCATAATTTCGATAAAATTTAAGTCTTCATATTATTTTCGAATTATGAAAAAAAGCTGCCTATTACATTAAATATATTATCCACTAAACTCTCATGCAAAATTTATAACTAGATTAATATGTAGAATGTTGAGGAGTTGCAACTTAAAATATGGCAATTTTTTACAAAAAATTGTCAACTTCAAATTGTATCTCCTCGAAATTCTACATAGTAACCCATTTGGAAATTTTCTATGAGAATTGTGAAAGGCCTGGGCTGCCACCCAACTCGTTTTTTTTTTTTTTATTATTTTCGTTATTTTATTTTATTTCTTCTTTTTTTTTATTATTATTTTATTATACGTCTTTTCTTTCTATAGCACCTTTTTAGTGAGGCTCAGCATAAATTATATTAACCGTTAGAATAGTCATCGCCATAGATCCAAAATTAGTAAGTGAAAGAAAATCCTTACAGTAATGGTAAAATTCACTTTAGTAGCTTTAGTGAATTTAGCAGATTTAGCGGATTAAATGGATTTAGTCAATTTATTCACTTTAGTAGCTTTAGTAGCTTTGCGCTTTTCGAAGCTTCTATAGAATTATAGCTTTGGTTAGATAATTTATACTACCTAGAGTAACAATGTAAAAACTATAAAAAGGATGCTTATCTTGAAAATAAAGATAACTCATTGAGTTCGAAAAGTATTTGCAAAATACGATAACCCTTTAGTCCCCAAAAGCCTTCGAAATCAGAGTAGAAGTGCTTATCTATAAAATCATAGTAACCTTCTCGTTACAAATAGTTCGTCGATTTTGTGTTATCTTGCCTCCGTGACTTTTGTACATTGTCTTATCGTATTTAGTAAGAGAGAGACATTGTATTGTATTAGTAATACAACCCTTATATATTTAAATCGATTCTGATTAAACCTGTGATCAATGTCATTGTCCTTAATTCGTGATACTGTGACCTTGTACCACCTTTCCGATTGGTCAAACTTAAGTCACGTGATCAAGCCGCAGCACCTGCTAATGAAGAAGTCAAGTATTAGTAAAGCAGTAAGAACAACGACTAAATCACCGAATGATAGTAAAAGAGACTTATCTGAATACAACACTATTTCTAATAACCCCATTTAACTCTGGTTACTCAGACCAAGTCTTTCCACGTCTCGATCATTGCCTTACCAATACTAGAGTTTGGTTTATAGTAGTAGTATTATAGTTAGAATAGTCTTGTAGTATTAGTGTACATAGTGAGTTGTCATAGTTTGCACAACAAGTTTTCTGACGCAACTCACAAATTAACCCTTTTATAGTTTGGTGATGACTGTGAGATCCTACTAAATAATATTTAACACCTATATATATAAATATTAAGAAAATTCTATTAGCAACAAAATAATAAGTAATTAGAAGCACTAAAACATTTCTCAACAAAGAAACAAGGCAAAATCAGCACCCATTCTTGAAAAACCTCCAAACGCTCTCAGTGATTCATCAGAAATCTCTCAAAACCTTCTCAATTTTGGAAACCAGAGCTCTACAAGCACTTATTCATCTCCAAATCACCAGGAGAGTATCCAGTTTATCTTAAAAGATATCACCAAGGCATTTAGAAATGCTGCCATGGAAGTAGTCCAAGAAAATAATTTTAAGAATCAATATTAGGGCCGTAAGACCAATTGGGTTCAAGTTAAAACGTTTCATGATACAGGAGATGAAGACTCTGTTGAGTAGATCAAAGTATTTGAAAGGGTTGCCAATGCAAATAACTGGCCCAAGTCAAGAAGAATCACTATTGCATGGGGATATCTGTCTGAAATTGCAGCTAATTAGTATAACGATTGTAAGGATGATCTTCAGTATTGGGATAATCAAGACCAATCCAAGGCCAGCTTTGCCCCTGAATTCATTAAATATTTCACAATACCAGAACAGCATTATAGGTGGCAAATAGATCTAAATTTATTAACTCAGCAAGAAAATGAAAAAGTTGATCTTTATGTATACAAATTTAAAAGGTTACAAAAAAGAGTTAACTCAGAAAATAAATTGTTACCTGTCTATGTAGTCAGAATATTTATCACAGCCTAAAAGGTAAAATTGCAGCCTTCATGTCTATTGCTGAACCAAAAACCCTTAATGATGCTATTGAGAATGCTAGAAAATAGAAGCTAGTAAATACTATGAGAAAAAAAAAGGAAAAGACTCTACTAACCAACTCATTGAAGCATTGACATACAAAATGCATCAAATAGCTACAAATTATAAAAAATTGATCACTATATTGGCAGCCAGGGCTAAAGTTAACCTCTGTTCTAATCAAAATAGGCCATCTCAGCCCTGTCAGGCCTCAAGTAGTAGTATTGAGTGCTATAATTGTGGGAAAAGAGGCTACATTGCTAGGAATTGCTTCTTTGAAAAACACTAAAATACCGGAAGACCTCTTGTAAATTCAAATAGTAATGGGTTATAGTCAAAAAATATTAATCTATATAATATTTATATACGAGAGCCAGGAGAAGAGTTATACACCATTAAGCATCAAGAAAAACCCAAAAATAAATCTAACTAGAATGAAAGATTAAGAAAAAGAGTTACCCCAAACTAAATCAGATAACTCAACAATCAACCCAGCCCATTCTGATAGAGAGGTTGTTTTAGAATAGTAGTAGACAAACATTACATCTCAACCTATCATAACCAGCCCACCAAGACAAAGACGAGAGCTCTCTGTTGTCAATTTAGCTGCACTATATAATATTGCCAATGATTTGCTAAATCAAAAAGCTAATGCAACATATGCCCAAATGTTTCAGATTCCCAAACAAAGGTGTAATCTTGCTGAGATATTAAAACGACCCTTAATTATGGTAGTAGAAGAATCATAGGTTGTTAAAAATCAAGTTAACTGCAGGCCCACAGTAGTAAAATATTATGTTAAAGTCTAAAACAACTCTATTTTGGCTGTGTTAGATTCTGGGGCCACCATTAGTATCTTATTAAAAAAATTGATTAATAAGCTAGGTCTAACCATTAAGAATATTTCAATACAATGGTAGTTACTACTAATGGCACAAGAAAAAAAGCATTAGAAAAACTTCCAGACCTAAGACTATGTATCAGAGACATAATAATACCTACTAATTTTCAAGTTATCAAAAATAACAAAGAGATAATGTTGCTGAAAATGGATTAGTTCCAAAAGGTATATACCTAGTTCTATTTCAACAAAAAAAAGTTGTTCCTCTGGTACCTAGATAAATATATAGAGGTATCAATATATCAAGCAAGAGAAGACCAGCTTGAAATACCTTCTAAAATTAGCAGTAATGATGGTAACTTCTTTGACAATTATGAGGAAGAAGAAATAAA